ATAGGTATTTTCAGAAACATATGTTATATGTTGCTCAGAACTTAAATTTTTTTTTAAAAATTTTAGCAGACATTTTTCAAAGATATTTTTTGAAGATATTTTTGATGATATTTTTTTTAAGAATATTATAATTTATTGCTATAGCAGTAAAATGCTATACCTTAAAAAAAACTAAGTTAAAAAAAATTTACTAGATATATGGGGTCTTTGCCTTGAAAATCAAGTATGGATCATATGATTTACTATGTCCCATAACGTCATTTTCAAGGCAAAGACCCCATATATTAATTTAATTAGATAATTACACGTAATATGCTAATATTAAACACGATACATAAAAAATATATCTGATATACATAAATTCGTAATATATTACATTGATGACAATAAGACAATTACATAATTTCAGTTTGCTCTTTTAATTTAAAAAATTTATAGCCTCTAATCTTTTTTTCTTTTTCGAAATTAAAAAAAAAAAACATGAATGAACCAATTATAGAATTAATTTTATAAGAAAAGCTTGAACAAATTTCTTCAAATGTTACAGGTATGAATTTGATACACAGTAACTCTCGAAATAACAAATTGTTTAGGCAATTAAGAAAAATTAATTAAAAGCTACACTATTAAGAGTTTATAAGTATTGTAAATAGCTAAATAACAGATTCTTCATAATAGTAGACTTCCTATATACTATACCAAAAGGCAGTTTTTTTTAAAAAATCCAGACAGCTTGTTAGACAAAATATGGAAGTTTTTTAAAAATTTCTTTTAGTGTATAATTCTCAACTATATACTAATTCGGGTCTATTATAGGTCTTAACTATTAGTGGAATATAAAAAGATCTGAGTCTTTTTATCTGGCCATTCATAGTGAGTCTATTATATCAAGCAAAATTTATTATAGTATGATTTGAATTTTGATCTGTTGTATCAAAGTTTTATATTGTTTCTGTTATATCAAGAATTTATTATGCTAAGAATTACTATGTATAATGTTATCCTGTTATCATTAGTTATAACTTATTTCTAAATCAAACATATTATGTGTTACAGTTAATATCTTTTATAGAAAATAAATATAGTACTTTGAATACAGGAAAAACATTTCTAAATTGGGATAGTTGTAAATCATTTTTGCAGAAGTGGGCTAAAAAACAAGATTTTCATGTGGTTAAAGATCAGATGTATCAAGAAAATGGTGTAGTTCGATGATGAGCATTTATTTGTATACATAGTCAGAATTATGATTCAAATTCAAATAAAGATACTAGTTCAAAGAAGACAGGGTGTTCCTTTTTGGTTAATGCTTCTTGTTCCAAATCTAATAATCCTGAAGTTCTAGTGTTTATTAACAAGGTTGTAGATGCACATAATTATATATTAGATAAGTTGATAATTAAATTTGAGGATTCAAAAAAATTCACAAATGACATATTGGAAAATATTAAATTTTTGATGGTATCATGCAAGTTTAGTACGACTGCTCAAAGAAAATTCCTTGAAAACAAATATTCCTTACACCCTATTTATTCGAAAGATCTCTATGCAGCTATCAACAAATTTCGTTCTACCTATAAATCATTATTAAATGATGCAGCTCAAGTTTCAAATTAGCTTGATTGCCAGAAAGAGCAGGATCTTCAGTGGTTTGTAGTACGTAGATGGGATGATGACAATGTGTTGACCTACTTGTTTTGGATAATACCTATGCAAATTGAGAACTGGGTCAAATATTCAGATTGTGTACTTAATGATATAACTCACAAAACTAACAGATATGGGATAGCCTTATAATTATTCGTTGGATTTAACAATGATCATCATAATGTTTTGCTTGCTCAAGGTCTTTTGGTTGATGAAAGCCTTGAGTCTTATATCTGGATATTTAGCAAGCTATTAGAAGTAACTGGTATACATCCAGGTTAGTGTTTAAATTAGTAAAAAATTTTTAAATTAATTAATTGCCAATTTTAGTTACAATTAATCAATAGGGATTGGAATTGCCTAAAATTTTTTTTACTATTTAATTGTTTAACTGTATTAATCATTTTATTCAGCTAGCATTAAGATAACTCTAGCTCTTGATCAACATAATTTGGTCTGATACTACAAAAAAAATTTTATATGTTAGATGATTCCAATCTCTACTAATCAATCATTAAGTTTATTTGGACAACTTTATTATGTTTGAGATTAGATAGAATTTTGAGAACTTATAGTTTTGCCAACAAGTATAAGTTTATGATAAAATTTTATAATTAATTAATCAACTATTTATAACTAGTTTGTTTTTTTATTATTATTAATTTAGGTGTTATTCTTACTGACACTGACCCAGCAGTAGATTCTGCTGTTCGTCAAATATTTCTGTTTACTTACCCTATTCACTGTGCTTATCATATTACTCAAAACTTACATAAAAATCTTAGAAAAGTTTTAGATGATGATTATCAAAAGTTTTTAGATAGTTTTTATCTTTGTTGTGATAGTCCAGTTGAAGATAATTTCCAAAAAAGATATGAAAAGCTTAAAAAAGATTACTCTAATAATCAAAATTACTTGGAGTTTCTTTATAAATTAAAGACATATTGGGCATATAGCTTTACTAGCTTTAAGTTTACTAGTGGCATGATAGCAACTTCTCGTATAGAATCTGTAAATAGATATTTAAAGCGTTTGTTATACAATTCAAATATTTCATTATGTGAGCTTATGGGTGAAATCCACAGACTCCTTGATCTACAAGATAAAGAAAATGAATACAAGTTTTGAAAACTATCAATACCTTCTGTATGAAATCAGCATAATGTGAATTTTCTATTTTCTAAAGTTGATAAATGTCTTCAAAAGTACCTTATAGCCTCTTTGTTGAAGATACATCATGATGAAATGAATCAGATGCTCTATTATGTTACAAGTTTGGTTACTCAAGAGAATATAGAAAACATAGATGAGGTGAATAACTATTTTATTAGTTAAAGTATCATATTGACATTCAGAACTTTGGTTAGAACTAAAGCTTTAGATGTATTAGCTAGATTTGTATTAGTTTAGAATTAGGTTGTTATAATTTAGATATCAGTATTGATATAGATTTGTAATTTTTATATGTTCAATTATTTTAGTTTGAATTTGACATATAAAAATTTCAGATACTAACACTAGAGTGTTTTAGAGAATTAAGGATTGTAAAGGTATTTTAATTTTTTGACCAAAATATATATGTATCCAAAGCTGTTTCAGCTTATTTGAAACTAGTTATAATATAAGCTATAATAGTTTCAACCTAAGCTGAAATAATTTCGACTACATATAGACCTAAGCAATTATTTAGTTATTGAAGTTAAAGCTAAACATATCACAAGATTTTTTGTTGCCTATAA